CACTGATTGAGTGACCATTGATTTGACTAGAATCATTGGCATCAATTTGGCTTTTTTTTCTGGTGGTTGATGTTAATTCACTTGCTTCCAGTGCCCTTCTTCTTGCAATATTAACAAAATGGTCTCGGTGTGTGATAGAAACTGGCCTGACCCTTTCTACAGTAGCTCCTAGTGCTTCTAGTATTTGTGCCTGAAAGGAAGAATTGAGAGAATTCCAATCAGTAGCAATAGTTAGTCCTCTTTAGAAAAAACTTTTTCTTAAAGATGGTGGTGTCTTGGCCAGCTTGCACACCCCGACTTATTCCATTGAGTAGAACAAAAGCAACTTGTGCTGTTATTATTATTCTTTTTATATGACTATCCTTTCATCAGAACTTTCACAGCGATATTGAACGGATGGGATGATGAGGAAATCACTGGGATTATCCTATAGCACTGTCATATTAGCTTGAGCAATAAGCTACTTGATGAAGATCTTTTGAGCTTGCTTTCCAAACGCTTTCTAGTAGCTATCCCACATACTCCTGGAATGCCAACACTATCTCTTATCTAATTCAGTAAAATACAAATGTAAAGGGGAAACAAGAGCATGAAGTGTCTTACCTTTTCGAGAGCAGCATCATCTGGAATAACCACATGGCATCTGCACCCATAAGCAGGTGCTACTGTTGCAAGACTAATGGCTGTGCTTCCTGCACTGCCCTCTGTAACTACTCCACCTTTAGCTAATGCTCCTGATTCCAAGGCCTGTGATTGATATTTTACTATTAATAGAAAAAGTATTTACAGATACCCAAATTAATTGAACCTTGCTATTTGTAAATACGTTGTGAAAGCAAATTTACAGAAAAATAACCACATGAAGGAAATCTCCGAGTTTAGCTTTCCTCCTCACTAAAAATCTTCTCATCCTAATAACTACAAGAAGTCTTAAACCTTAATCAGGTAATCTTTCAGCTTTTTAGAATCCCGTCATCTTCTTAAGCAAATGAAGCAAAATTATAGAACTCTTTCAATTTCTGGAATCAGGTAATCTTCTCTAACATTCCATACATATTGGAAATTGCAATGATGACATTGAATTCCGCAAAAGTATGCCTTATAGGGTATTAGACTTTCCCCAGGATTTCACAGGAAAACAACCGGTTGTTGACATAGAGTCGCTCATTTTGGCTGCTCCAATACAGAAGAAAGGCATGTTGGCAATCTTTTTTAGCTAGGTGAAGAGCTTATGGATCCCAACGGCTCCAAATGAACTACTTATGATTATATATCCACATCTTGTTTAGTAGTATTACTTATGAGTTTACATCTTCTCCATACATACCAATTAATGCACTTAAGTATATATCCACAAAAATATAACTTAATTACATATTAGATCTGCCCCAGGTATTTCTCATGCAAATGTCCGGTTGCTGACATAAAGTCACTAACTTGACCCACTCCGATGCACCTGAAAGACATGGCCTTGTCAATCAGTTAAGCTAGTTGCAACTTGCAAGATGTGTAGAGTACCAAGGGCATATTAACCACTTTGATCATCCTCTATCCTTGAAACTAATCAATTTGTACCTCGTCAGCAAAAGCTGGCTTGATGCTAAATATTCAATTTGTAGTTGAAAAAGAACAACGGCGTTTGAAACCAAAACCAGAAAAAAGAATCACAAAAGGAGCTAGTTGTAGGAACTATTAAAGACAATAGAACTTCTCATAAATTGGACCAATTCAGAAACGGAAAACTGAATCAGAACTTCTGCATGAAAATTTAAAACCTGAACGAATTTAAAAGAATGGTAACAGATACAGTTTAAGCAAGCATTTAGCCATAACTAGCTAATACAAGATTGACTAAGAAAAAAGAATTTGAACAAAATATCACCTCTTCAATAATCTTCACAGCTACTCTGTCTTTTACACTCCCTCCAGGATTCAAGAACTCTGCTTTCCCCAAAATCTGAACACGAATTGGTATACTATCAATTAGACATATGCATCGTAAATACTCCTTCAATTTCAATTTGTTCGTCTAGTTTTGACTTGACTTGGCACTAAGTTTAAAAAGTAAAGAAGCTATTTTAATCATATTGTTTTAAACTAAAGATACATAGAATATACCCAAACGTGGTTTAATCTTGTGGTCTATATATATATATATATATACCTATAAACAACTCATCTTATATGAGCTTCGAAAAGCATTACAAGTCTAAGCTCAAATAAAGGAAGAGGATTGCATTAGGACGTAAAATTAAGCTAAATAATATACCTCCTATTAGTACCAAAATCCTGAATCATGATATTTACCCAACCAAATTCAACTAATTTGGAATTAAGCTCATTAATCATATCTAATTACTAACAATTATTTCAGCTTAAGCATATAGCTATGCATGATTATGCTTAATTGAAATGAAGAGATAGAGAATATACTTCACATCCAGTTGCATCGGAGAGGCTATTGATTCTGATTAACGGAGTGTTGCCAATGGCGGCGACGAGTCCAGTTCTACGTCTTTGAAGTTTCTTTTTCCGGGGAGACTTATGCTGAGTCGTTTTGCAGAGGAAATAAGAGACTATGGCTATGGAGAGCAGTGTGGCGATGGCGCCTGCAGTTCTCACCGGCGCCATCGCGGTGGTTCTCCGGCGGAATCCGGTCTAATTGAACCGGAAGTATTATGGGCGGTGAAAGGGTGAAGGCAGGTTATGAATATTTCGATCAATTGCAAATTAGACCACCTAAGTTTCTTTTTCTTCTCTTTTTACCATTCCACTTTGAAGAAATGATGGCAAAGTCATTTTTATAATATTGTAGCTCAATTAATGGTAAATATTTTTTTCTTTGATTGTTGTTAAGAAACATAATCATAAACTTGAGGAAAATGATTATTTGAATCCTTGGTGATCCATTGGAATTTATGAATAATTTGTTTTAAAGTTATAGTAATATAATTTGTACGGAAGAAGCTATAATAATTTGACAAGAGTTAATATAAGATCACTCATTGAATTCCTGATGATCTATCAAGATTTTGTGTACTAATTTTAAAGATCAACCATGAGTAATGGTAATGTAAGTCTTTTGGTGTTTTACTAGAAATTAAGCTTCAACTTGTTATTCCGAGGTTATTCTCACATAATTTTTTAGAACGAGTTAAAAGTTAAATAAAGACGCAAAAAAATCCTATTTGTAAAAATCTTAATATAATGATGCTTGTCAAAGATCCAGAGAAGTGTTGTGGATGAGCCCAACCCATTGGCAATATGGGCTTTGTCAATAATGAATAGTAATTGAAAGAAGTTAGGATTGACATTTGAGTATTTTTTTCGAGCCCAACTAATCCAAATTCAAATCCGAGAAAATTCATTAAAAAATAACGATTTTTCATATTGAAAACTCGAATTTGAGTGTTTTCTCTAAGTACTCACAAATTATTATTACACAATGAAAAGTTACAATGTAAAAGGGGTTGAATAAAATGTCAACTAAAGTTGATTGCATTATAACTTTCCATGATCGAATATACAACTTTCCGTACGGAAGTAATTTCATTTCAATAACAATAAAATAAAAGGTGAAGAATTATTTGGAATTTTTCTTTAGGTTTGTATATTTAAAAGAAGATTCGTGATAAGAAATATATTATTCTCTTTGCACTAAGATTGATTGTCAAATAATTTTTATATAACATTCAATATTTATTTCCATTAATGACTCTTATGTAACGTGAATTCAAATCAATCCAGTAGTAAAAAAATGAAAAAGGAGATTGAAATATGATTATTCCCATAAGGAATAACTTTATGTAATAGATTATACCAATCAGGTACTGCTAGATCTGATTGTATTAAAAAATGAAAATAAAATTGATGAGTGCCCAAAAGTGCTACAAGACATTTAAAAAGGCCGACAAAATCAGTGATAGGACAAGTCCGTTAAGTTACCATCTTGCCCTTGGCTTACACAAGTTCTAAACTATTTATGTGGTTGGTATTTGATAAAGTATTGGTCATCGAGAGAGAGTTGTTCGGATGATAAGCACCCCTCACTTTCAACCCGAAGGTTGCGAGTTCGAGCCTCCAAAGGAGCAAAAGGGGTGGGTGCTCCTAGGAAGGGAGGGTTTAAAAAAAAAGTATTGATCACATATACGTTCAGAAGATGAAAATAATAGAAATGATAATGTTCGATTGGATGTATGGATAGTGGATAAGAGAATGTAAAAGTAATCTTGACAAACAAGATAAATAAAGCAAAGTTGAGATAAATCAGCTATATATATAAGAGTTGTTAGGAGAAACAAGGGTAGACCAAAAAAAATCAAAAGGGAGGGAAGTCTTTACTAAGGACATAATCATGAATTTGACAGTATAAAGGTTAATGATTACGATAGAAAAGTAATAGATAGTTGAGTGTTGTAGTACTGTTATATGAAAGAGACTATTTATGCAGTATCGTGTTCTTCGATTTTTACTACTACAAAATTACTTCTTTACTTTGTTCATTTTTACTATTTTGATATCATTTATTTTTTCTTTCAATCCTATTTTAATTAAATTTCTTTTGAACTTTATCTGATTAGTTGTAGTCTTGATTATTAAAATCTGGACAAAAAAAAAACAAAACAATAGTTGAAATTTATAGTAACTTAATTGTAAAATTACTTTGGACAAATTTAAACATAATTTCATTCTTCCAATGATAATTCGCACATCATATTATAACAAAAAGACCCGTAAGTAGATTGGACTCCAAAGTGGCCATCTAGTCAGCTTAAGGTAACTTTTCTATGGTTAGTAAGAATTTTTTTGATGGTACATCATTAAATCACCCAAATAATATTTACAGCACGTCTATGCAACGTTCAAATTCATATCATTAATACTATAATTTTACCCCTATCCTAAAAATAAAACTTTTCAACGAGAATATAAATTATTCAAACTTCAATATGTCACTCAAACTCAATAAAGTGTGTATCAAATACCGAATAAAGAAAAATAAATTATAGGATCTGTATAATTATTCCATTGAAATAAAAAAAACTTTTCACGGCAGAGAATCTTTGCAGAGAGAGCATAAACCACTCCATTTCTCACTCTTCTTTATCTCTCTTCTTCTCTACAAAAAGGCCCAAAATACTTCATCACTTCGAACTCTTCCGCCATGGAAATCCAAAAATTGCTTCTCAAATTCAAATTTCACATCTTAATTGCATCTACTTTTTCGATTTTCATCTTCGCTCTCATTTACCTCGCACCTCGATTTCTCGATGTTGTTAAGTATTTTTGGCCTCTGTTACTCTCTACTGCTCTCTTCCTAGTCGCCGTCGTTCTCTTTGGATGGATTTCTCCGCCGGTATCTGAGATTTCCGGTGAGAAAACCGGTGAAGGTATTTTGGAATTCGTAGCGGGTCAACCCGAACAATTACAAACGCATCTACATGATTTACATGAACATGAAGGAGACGGAGAAGATGAAGAAGGTGAAAGTAGCAAAGTAGAGTGAAGTGAAATTAATGGTTATTTCTGCTCTTTTTACTTTTCTTTTTTTATTAATTAGATACTTTTTTTTTTCTTTTTAAATTTTTGTATATTTCCAGAATAATGTTAACTTGCATTATTGGCCTGCAACTTACTTTTGGGGTCCTTTCTTTTGATCATGAAGTCGGAATTTTATGTTATTGAATTCTAAATTAATTTAGATGCCTATAAGATGTAGATCAAACTTATTCGGTTGGCCGAACACACTATCCCCCCCTACTTTACAAAAAACAAGAAAAATAGGACGGAGAAGAGTATTGATCAATAATAATAATGTCTTCAAAATAATTAAATAAATGAGATCTAAAAAGAATATGTAATATATTAATCAACTTTTAAATATCTTAATATTGAACTAGTTTGGGAACAAAACTCTGTTTTTACTACTTCACCACCTAAATAGAGTACAATTATCAACAATGTTATTAAATTGGTCACTTCCTGCACAACATTGGTAAACTCTCCTGTACTATTATCCGTCTCAATTCATTTGACACTAACTCTTCTTTTTCCGTCAATCTTATAACCTTTAAATTCAAAATCAACATGTCGTGACTTGACCCGAACTCTATGTCTAGCGAAAATTTAGTTGAGAATTGTTGACCTGAAACAATATTTTAGTAAACACTTTTTTACCAGAACAACCTTCTTATTGATCCTATGTAACTAAAATCACAATTTTTAGGGGGAAAAAAAATAAAGAAAAGAGAAAACAACAATATTAGCAAATTCCTAAAGTGAATTACTGACCACTGACCATAACGTTTGGTCCTCTCGAAGACAAAATTAGTGGGTTCACCAAATTTGTCTTCATACTAGGCACCTAACGGTACTAATATATCACTTGCTCTTTGCTAAGTTTTCAAGGAAAAAAAATTCATGGGTATATTATTTATATTTTGTTTTATTTTGCACATCTACCCATTTCTGAACAAATTTAGATACATATTTTTTTTTAATCATCTAGTAATATTTTTGTCTATGCTAAGATAAGAATCCAAAATCTCATGGTTCCAACTCATTTATTAATCACTATAATATGATTGAAGTTCTAACATTTCCCCCCCTAAAATTTAGGCATAAAATGTTGAACTTTAATAGTACATGCATAAATTTTAGATAAAAACAGTCATATAAAATTTATCTGAAACTAAACAATTTAGAAATGGTTCGAAATAGATAAAACCTATAAAAATTTATAAATGTAAGGCATAACTTGAATGATAACACCATCGTTCGATAGGATGTATAAGAATAGAGATAACACCATCGTTCGGTAGGAGGTATAAGAATAGAGCTGAATATAGTGTATTAATAATGTTTGTATTAATTATGCTAAAAATAAAATGCACGGTATAGTTTCTAAAAAAATAATATTCGTTTACAAAGATAAAAATATAGTGGAAAGGATGTGAAAAAAGTTTTAAAGGGCAATTGTGCCTTTAATTATGCTAATGCATGTAATAAAAACTTTTAAATTAGTAACACTATGTATTTTCATGTGTTAGTTATACATACTTTGATACCAAATAAAGTGGCATAACTAATGCAAGCAGGAGGTATAAGAATAGAGCTGAATATGGTGTATTAATAATGTTTGTATTAATTATGCTAAAAATAAAATGCACGGTATAGTTTCTAAAAAAATAATATTCGTTTACAAAGATAAAAATATAGTGGAAAGGATGTGAAAAAAGTTTTAAAGGGCAATTGTGCCTTTAATTATGCTAATGCATGTAATAAAAACTTTTGCATTACTAACACTATGTATTTTCATGTGTTAGTTATATATACTTTGATACCAAATAAAGTGGCATAACTAATGCAAGCATTAATACATAGCTTGAAAAGTGTATCAAACAATATACTAATAATACACAAAGTTAATGCATACATTATTTTTAAGGGCAAATTACAGAAATCACATACTTTTAAGGCAAAATTACAATCTATCCCTTAAAAGTTTATAATTACAGAAATCCCTCAAATGAATACAATAATATAAGCGCTGATACATTAATCTGATACGCGAGATACATTAATCGTTAAGTAAGATACATTACATTTTATACATGATACACTAATCTGATGCGCGAGATACAATAATATAAGCGCTGATACATTAATCTGATACGCGAGATACATTAATCGTTAAGTAAGATACATTACATTTTATACATGATACACTAATCTGATGCGCGAGATACAATAATATAAGCGCTGATACATTAATCTGATACGCGAGATACATTAATCGTTAAGTAAGATACATTACATTTTATACATGATACACTAATCTGATGCGCGAGATACAATAATATAAGCGCTGATACATTAATCTGATACGCGAGATACATTAATCGTTAAGTAAGATACATTACATTTTATACATGATACACTAATCTGATGCGCGAGATACAATAATATAAGCGCTGATACATTAATCTGATACGCGAGATACATTAATCGTTAAGTAAGATACATTACATTTTATACATGATACACTAATCTGATGCGCGAGATACAATAATATAAGCGCTGATACATTAATCTGATACGCGAGATACATTAATCGTTAAGTAAGATACATTACATTTTATACATGATACACTAATCTGATGCGCGAGATACAATAATATAAGCGCTGATACATTAATCTGATGCGCGAAAATGAGGAATTTTGGAGATTTGTAAAACTTATAAGGGATAGTGATAATAAGTAAACTAAAATGTGGGATTTCTGTAATTTTTCCTTTTTTGTAATACACTCTATCAACCGACCTAAGGGATTCCATTTAAAATGGGTTTGGGCAACAATCACACTTACTAGGATATGGACTTTAAAGCCTGAGTACGATCGGTCTATAAATTAACCCTTGCTTAAAATTTCTATTTGCCATCATAATCTTTCAACCAATGCTTGTCGGACTAGGGTCCACAATGATACACTTTCGGCCTCCCTAAAATTCCCTATCACAATATAGTGAAGATTGATTGAGAATTTTGAGTGAAAGGAATAATGGGATTTCACAAGTAACCAAACCAATTCCTATCATTTCACACCAAAAAGGGTATATTTTCGAGTATTTGGAGTGGATGGACCATCAATACTTACTGAGATTATGGTAGGATATAAATAAGACCCATTAACCCGAAATTAGAGATTTTAAATTCATACACCAAGTGTCGTTTGGTAGTTGATATGAGTTATGCAGGTATAAGCAATGTAGAGGGCAGTTAGGAGGCAATCACTGTATTATTTTATGTAGATAATAGTTATTCAACCTTATATCATCCATAAAATAATACATAAAATCTCTCCCAACTCATGCATGTATTATTGTATACAACACTTTTCTTATACATTCTACCAAACACCTCCTAAGTGGCAAGTGGTTGCTCAGTTGGACCCTCTACCTCCAACATTAAGGTTACGGGTTCGAGACTTCAAGTCACCAAGGGAGAGAAAAGTTGGGAAACTCCTAGGGAGGGGTAAATAAAAATTCAAGCATTAAGAATGGAAAAATTCCAAGTAGAGAGAGTATTTTTCTTAAATGAGCCCAACGAGAATCTAGATTAGTCGAGTTAGTTTTGATGGTGAACAAAATGAGGAATGGTTACATCTGGAGTTGGGTAGATTCTTTTGTTTGGGATTTCCAAAGTAAGCAAACCATTCCATATCATTTCACACGGGAAATGGTCAATTTTGAGTGTTCAAAGTAGATGGACAAACAAATGCTTATCCCAAAGAGATTGCAATAGGATAGATATCCATCACCTTTAAACACAAGTCTTGGATTTAAACACTAATTAAGAATGAAAAAAAATTCTTGGTAGAGAGAGTTTCCCTCTTAAATGGGCCCAAAGAGACACGAATCTGGATTAGTCATGTTGGTTTGAAACGCTAGATGGTTAAAAGAAACATGGAATGTTTACATCTCGAGTTGGAAAACTCGGGATCAATAATTGTACTGTAGAACTCAGATACCTATCACATTCCTTGACAGGGGAAGAACCGAAGAAGTTTGCTAACTTTTTACAAACAAAAGTACAAGTAATTTACATGTTTACACAGGGAGTTGAGAAGACTACATGGAGATTCTGGGAAGTGTAAATTTCACCTAGTACTAAACTGAGTGGAATTTACTGCATAACTTGTGTCAAAAACTCAAAAAATATGAACGTTTTCTAATATGCTACTGATACACTAGAAGTTGCAAAAGGACTCATAATCATATGTGGAAAAGGTTGCTTAATATAATAATATAGGTTTTAGAGCAATCACCTCCCGGTTCAAGATGATTGGGCGAGTGTCAGATCTGCGGTTGACAAAGTTCCAGACTGATCAACGTCAAGACTTTCAAATTCCTTCAATACAGCTGCGACGTCGTGTTGGTTGATCTTCCCCATCTCCTTAAGTTTATAGATAACAAATTCAGCAGCCCTTTGCAATTGACAAAAACAAAAGGAGACCAGAATTAGAGTTTGTAATATGCTTTGAGATTTACAATGAGAAAAAGAATAATACATGCTAGAATCAAAAGCTAAGACAGTGGTGTAATGACACTAACAAAAACAATATAGAGTCGATATTTAAATGGTTCTGTTAATTTGACATGTGTCGACAAGCATGAGTGCAGTTTACAACACCAACGTGAACAAGGTGAGAGTACAAAACTAGAGTAAATACTCGAATTAAGTGGATCAAGAAGGGTCTTTGCAATCTAATTATAGGTGCATGCTTTAATGTTAAATGAACTTACCCTACAACCCCATCATCATCAAGATCAGCTTCCTCCAAATCCACATTTGTCATCCTTCTTGAAAGAACCCATTTCACAATCTCCTTCTGTCTCTTTTCCGTGTTCCATTCAGCAACATAAAGGAAGAATCGACCCAAACAAAGAGTGCTTGTCAAAATCCAAAATATAGAAAAAATGCGCCCTGCTTTGGTTGAAAAGCTTTTGTCTCCATATCCTAATGTTGTGATGGTAGCACAGACACAATAAAAGGCGTCTACAGTATCAAACTTTTCAACTCTAGTCAAGACGACTGTCCCAATGATTATGAGCATTATAAGGAAGGCCGCTACCATGAAACACTTGTACCTTACTTTGTTTGTTTCAATCTCCTCTAAAATTTCACTCGGACCAACTCTACAACCCATATGCAGTGCTTTAATTAATAGTGTTTCTTGCTTCTCCACTAAGTAGTCTGCTGCTTTGCTTAGAACCAGTCCAACAAGTGCCATCCCAGAGAACACAAAGACACAGGCAAGCAGTTTAGTAGTTGCACTGTTAGGAACCAAATCACCATATCCAACCGTGGTCATTGTCACAACACAAAAGTAAAGGGAATCAAGTACGCCATCTATTTTCTTTCCCTTGATCTTGCTTCTAACAAAATAAAAGCAAATGGTACCAATACCCAAGTATATAATCAAGTAAACAATAACTTTCCTAATACTAGGGTGGAGTTTGTCCAAAATCAATTTAGAACGTAGAAGTGATTGGTCGTTCTTTATTTCATTAATTTCCACCGGAGCAATTTCGCCCACAGGAGTACTTTTAGATCGGCGAAATCTTTTTCTCCCAAGACCAACCGTATGATGGGTTTGATGCAGTTGATCCAACAAGGGCTGGGTTGTTCCCCTATTAGTCATCCAGGAAGCCTCGAGAAGTCCTGCAAGAAATTGTGGCTGCTTAAGAAAAGTCATTTAATTTAGTAAATCATAATGATTTCCCTCAGCCAGAGAGACTACTCTTCGAATACCAAAAAACTAACAAAAACAGTTTTTCTTCATGATTATCATATGCAAATAGTACCTTGACTGTCAATTGTTAGTTCTTATACTATGATATTTCTAGAACCTTAACGCGTGCCACATGCAATAGCACCAAGTAAAGAACTTTCTAGGATAAGTCCATCGCAGCTGGGTTAACACTCAATAGGAGTATTCTGACATAGGTTTATACTCATTGATGAATAGAGTTCCAGTTCAATGACGATAAATCTTTGGGTTGCGGTTACTGAGAGAATCCATTTAACCTAGACGGCTAGCTCACATAAAAAGGCGCATGTTACCACTAATTTCTCATGATGATTGAGAAAGCTCTGGCCAGTAAGAACACAAGCATGGAACTTGATCAGTCTCTCTTAAAACTCATTGAGAGACAGAAAATCAGATGCATCCAGACACCTAAAGTTTGCACTGACGACAAAAAATTAGATATCTAATCCAAGCGGTCACTGTAAAGTTGGACTCATCCTGTTTTTAGCTGAGACATCCTAACACATTTCATTATGTTGTTAACTTGTCAAGTAACTAAAATCAAGTGTTTCTCTGGCAATATTAGTTTTCTTCTATGTGATGCTCGTGACGGAGTTTGTTTTCTTTATATCTCTCATCCCTTATACTATACTGTGTCAGTGACATGCTAATCATATCTGTGAAATGATTAGTGGTCCTGCACTCCGAGAATCAAAAGGTCTAGTTTCCAATTCCAGAGTAAGAGAAATAGTAACATATATGTCCTTGATTGACAAACTTGTTCTGGCAATTACACCCAATAATTATGAACTGTAACGAATCTAAATATTTTTCTTCAGCATCTCTTAAAGTTAGTCAAATTCTCTGCATGAGACTTAAACAGAAAACAATCTATAAAATCCTACAGTCACAGGCTCACAGACAATCAGTTTCCTGAATAATACATTATTCTACTAAGTGATAGCATTTTAACTGGTTTGGTAAAAGATTTAAACATCCCACACATACATCCTTCCTTTATCTGGCAACTTAAGTAAAGGATTTTTAACTGAAACCAAGAAGATTCAAATGTTCTCACAAATTCACCTATGCTTGGTATGGAATGTAACACGCATCGAATGAGAAACAACTACATCTCACAACCTATGCTAATAGAAGGTAGCAAGTACCTCGTAGAATTAACCAAGGTGTGTGCAAGCTGGCCTATACACTACGGTTATCACAAAAGGAAAAAAGAGACATAAAAGAAAGATAAAGTAGTTTTTCTCAGCAAAATTACTAATCCAGTTAAACCAAATTGCTAAATGAATAACAAAATTCAAACACTGGTGACTAGAGGTTGAATAGACTAACTTACCAAACAGAACACAAATTCACTCTTAACTCCCCATCTCTCATACCCAGTCTAGTCCGACAAAGTTGGGTCTAAGGAGAGTAGATACACAGATCTTATCCTTACCTCGTAAGTCGTAGGTATCACTGTTTTCGATAGACCATCAGCTCAACGAAAAACAGTCCAAAGCAGTTAAGAAAAGGAATAAACGAAAGTGAAAGCATAACAAAACATCCTGAACAATAACTATAGAACAACAAACAACAAATAGTAATAGAAATCGAAGGACAAGAAACTACCAGAAATACTGATGGCTATATCTCAAATTCCCCCAATTTTTTTTTTTTGTATGAATTCTGTCATAGCTAAATTTTAACTAACAGACTCGCGTTAAACTGGAAATAACACCTTACGAGTTATGATACACATAACCTCACAACAACACATGAGCAGAATTTCCCAGCTGATTCACCAAAATCGCAATTTAATAGCTTCTTAGAAAAATTCAGCGAGCATGCATTCATAGCTTTACCTTCAAAGAAGGAGCACGTTCACAAAAATAAATGAAATAGTAATCTGAATTACCATAAAAAATCAAATGTTTGATCCTTACCTAAACCTGATTTCTGTAAGGAAATTGCTGGAAAGAGCTCCAATCTTCTTTGACACCAATTGGAGCTTTAACTTGCAGGCGTCCCCTTCTTCAGTTTCTTCCGATCAATTGCGATCACGTTCATCTTCTTCACTCCCTTTATAAGAGCTGTCGTCATTTGGCTTTTCCCTCGTTTTTTTTTTTTTTTATTCGGTGAGGAGAAAATTAAAGTTTTACCGAAATTTTTATGGGCCAAATACTATTTTTAAATAAAGTGATAGTATTTCGAAAAAATAATAAATACTCCATAAGTATTATTTACTTTCCTGAAATAATATTTATAGACAAACAAAATATATTTTCTGAAAAATATTTGATTTTCTTATTTAATTTTTAGTGTTTGATTAGTAATAAGAAAATATTGTCTCCATAAGTATTATTATATATAATCTATTCAAATACTATAACACCACCCTTGAATCCCCAACCTTTAAAATGAACCTTGACCCCACCTTTAACACGGACCAAGACCCATATCTCAACACATATCTTGACCACGATTCAGGTCCCAACCCCTAACCTTGATATCGCCCTCGATTAGACTCGACTCCAGCCAAAATAAGGTCCAACGGTGACTTGGGACCTAATCTCAACCCTTATCTTGAATAGAGATTCAATCCCGAGCCAGGACTGGACCTTGATCTCGAGTCGGGGTCGGGTCTCGATTCGAGGTTAGGGTCCAGTCTTGGATCAAAATTGGGGTGAGTCTTGGATCGAAATTGGGAAAAGTCTCAGATTGAAATTGGGCATGAGAGTCATGAAGTTAGATCCCGAGTCATGAAGTTAGATCCCAAGTCAAGGTCAGAAGTTGGGGCTCAGGGTTGAGGTTGAGGTTAAGGTTGGGAGTTAGGTATTGAGTGAGGGTCAGGATCGAAAGTCGGTTCCGAATGGGGTAAGTGGTGAGGTTGAAAGTTAGTAGCGCAAAATATTTCTTTTACTTCTGCGTAGAAAAAATATCTTTTCTTGAAAAAATATTTTTTTAAACATTTAAGCCAATAAAAAATATCAAAAAATTGAAAAATATTTTATAGAAAATGTTAACCTTGGTGCCAAACACACCTGCGCGCGCAGAACTTCACAGTTATAAAGCTCGGATTTACCAATTTTCAAACAACGTAAACCTGCAGAGGGAAGAGAAAATGGAGGGAAAGCGTTCAAACACGCAGCCACTAACACTCATAAGGAAAATCAAAGGTAGATAGCGCTTCCATTAAACTTCAATTGTTTTCTGAAAATTCATTGCGATTCTCGCGTTCAATACATTGATTCTCAACGAATCGTCTTCGCGTTTGAGCCATATATACTTTGATTTTGTTTTGCAGGATTTACTCGTTCCATTGTTGAGGATCTCGCTCGAGGTAGGGCACCGTTGATCTACATCGATCGGTTCAGAAATTACTGTACTGACACTTCTGGAAATTGGTAAGAAGCAGCGGTAGCTTGAATATATGAAATTATCAATCATAGTTGAGCTTAGTGGATTGGTTTTTGCTGCTGTTTGAAATTTCATTGCAATTAGTGTTTTGGAATAATACGAAAACTAACACTGGATTAAACTGTCGATTTTCTATAAATAATAAATGAAACTACACTGATCGGTTCAGAATTTACTGTACTGAGCGAAGTGTTTCCCATTATCTGTTCCATTCTGCTAATTGGAAGATCTGGTTGAAAACAGTTAATGTGTGTTGCAGTTTGAAATTTCATTGCAATTAGTGTTTTAAAATTCCAACTCGAAAACTAACACTGAATTAAACTGTTGATTTCCTATGAATTAATAAAACACTACCTCGATTGGTTCAGAAATTTCTCTACTGACACTTTCGGAAATTAGTAAGACGCCTATGTGTGTGAGGATTTTATTTGGTAGCTTGAGTATATGATTATCAATTCAAGTTAAGCTTAGAAATGTTTTTTTTTCTTTTCCTTCTTTTCGAAGATCTAGTTGAAAACAATGAATGTGCTGCAGTCTGAAATGTCATTGCAATCAGTATTTTAGAATTCTAACACGAAAAATTACACTGAATTACTGTTGATTTCCTATCAATAAACACAACGATGTTTGGTTCCTTTCTATATTACAAGGCCTCCAAAGAGATTATCCTTGACGTAATTGAACTGAAAATTGCAACTGATGAAGATTCACATAGGTTTAAAACGGTGCTTTAAGAATGTTGCTAGCACTGGGCTTGGTAGATTATTCTGTGGAATTCCAGATGGTATGCTCCTGCTCCCCCTCAACACAACCCCTTCCAAAACGTAAAATGTAGAGAAGAAACGAATGGTTATTTTAAGTGCCCTGCTCAGAAGAAGAATGAGCACAGTCTATACTGAGAGATTTGTTCATAGAAGCCATTGCCTATACTGAGACACTAATAAGTACTAGTGGTAATTGTTATGTTGAATGGAGTTATAAAAACAATGAAATTTACTGAAGTTGGAGTTTGAATGGCTAATAAAGACCATCCAAATGTCGTGGTAGTATTAATGGTCTTTGTTTAATTTATGTAGCTCTTGCAGCTCTGGTTTGTCTACTGGCAAGGAAGCTATATCCCTGAAGAGGGAATGCCATGCACGTAGGCTTGGTGAGTCTAGGGAGAGTAAACAATACTTGTATATTGTATCTGCTGATCTTCATCACATAGTTGGACAAGAAATGATATGATAGTGAAAAGGGTAGGAATGATAATTAAAAGTTGCTATCCTCCCTGAAAAATGACAAAATTACCAGGAGAACTATTTCCCCGTTAAGTTGACTTTTCTGTTCTTCTGTTTTCCTATATGAGCCTCCCTTTCCTTGAAGTTACACAGGATGCACCATGGGGGGAAGGTGGAGTGGGGTGGGGCCCGTGGGGGTGGGGTAGTACAAGGTTTCTCTCTCAGTTTCCTTTTCTGTTTGGTCAAACCAACTTGAAGGCCTTTTTTGCTCTCCAATCTGCTTAACATCCTAGAACCTTGCTGGGTTACTTCATCTCTATGTTTTTGTTTCAGATGTTTTGTTGAGAGTTCTTGTGATAGTTCAACAACTTCTGCAAGAAAACAGGCATGGATCAAAAAGAGACATATATTACATGCATCCTACTGTTTTTAAAGGTAAATCTGGATCGACCTCTGGTGTTCCAACGAATCCTCTTTTCAGAAGAAAAATTTGGATGAATGCTAGGTGTTCCAGTGTAGTTACTTCCCTGTTAATTTCATAGGAAATGGTTGGACATTATGTACTCTAGAATCAGTTTTGAATTATTCTTGTGATTGGTTATGAAGTTTTTCTTCCATGGAAAATGCTTATGTGCTGTTGTATAGTTCAGCTTACTCAGTTGCTAGAGATGTGCCATGATTTTAGATCTCTAACGCAAAATGTATATATTCAGAAGGCTTCTTCCTCCTATATGCTCATCACTCTCTTTTGCACTCTATAATGCAGAACAATCTGTTGTTGATCGGGCAATTAATGACATCTGCATCCTCTTGCAATGCAGTCGGCATAACCTTAATGTGGTATGCCAACCTACTTTCCTCTCTGTATCAAAATAGACTCATTTTAGATGTATATCCACATGTCGTTCACTGTTAAGTTGGGAACCTTTTAACAGAGCGGGTTCACAGTCTCTTCTATATTTATTTAGTTACATGTTCATTTTTTACAGTGGAGGATTCAATTAGGGTTCAGAATATTGATTGATATTAGAAATGGTCATTCTGCTTTACTTATACATGCTTTTGACATGCAAAACAGTAGATCACAAGTATCTGACCCTGCCTTTGCCATACCATGAGGAGTGGGGAGGGGTTTGCTAGTGTATTTGATTAGAGGGATGTGAATATTGTTCTTGTATAGAACTTGAATACGACTTCAGAGAATGTAAAGGATATTGCTAGACTAGGGTATACCCATCATTCAAATGATTATTTTATTCTCTTTTATTGCTAATCTTGTAAGAAACTTGACCTTTTATATTCTTTTGATGCTTGCCTTTTACAGGTGTCTGTTGGAAATGGGTGCGTGCCTCTATACAGTTTATATTGCCTTGCAGGAGTGTGCTTCTAGACATGTACATTTTGGGTTCATTATATGCAATGTTCTTTCTCATACTTGACATAATATTTGCAATCTTTTCTTCTTGAAAATTTCAAATGTTTCTTCTTCAGTTGATTATGCTTATACCTCCTGCATTTGTCTCAATGTCGCTTCGTATGTGTCTAAATTCCTCTTTGGGGAGCAAAGTTACTTCATGATTGAGAGATTTGATATTGTCCATCATGTTACAATAAACTTTTGTACTTTGAGCAAGGTAAAATTTCATTATAACCCGGAGAAAGCATGTCACTCTCTAAGGAGTATTACTGCATCATCATTTTTGGCCTACTTTTGAAGATATTGGTAGCATATGTAGATCTAGTTTAAACTGCTAACCAATGAAGTTCCCAATAAATGTACTGCTGTTGCATTTTCCTCATGACAGTTTTGTCCGTTCCTTTAGATCGATATATAGTTGGTTCTCTCCTTTGTTTATATTGTAATAGTTCCTTGCAATTCTCAGTCATAAAATTCTTCTTCCAACTATTTATGGTCTAGATTGGTGATGGGGTGGCTGCGGTATGTGGAATCTGGGAGGAAAATTAACTGCATTGGCAATCCTCACACTGTAAGAATGATAGTTATAAGCTAAGATGGGTTTCTGTAGTTGTGTAACAATCTAATTATGATGGTTCCTGCAGGCATACCCGATTCCGGTCCTTGTTGAAGAGGTTGATGGTATCCTTATGAGTCTAAGCGTTTGAATTGTGAATTTAACATGGTTAAACATGAACATGAGTTTGCGGACTCCATACATGTGCAAGTTCAGTTATTGCTAAACATAAAGTTAAATGTACACTTTGTTGTTGAATACATCCTGTAATTTGACTTTATGGATTGCTTTCTCAGACTATGGCTGTAGTTGTTACTCCCTTAATGCTTGAACAAGATATTATTAGTGTTGCTCAATACGTTTTAGTTGTGGAAAAGGAATCAGGTAAAACTATTTATAAGCATATCAAGCCTATAACAGTCATGAAAAGGTATTCCTAGTTCATAAATAAGGCCACTATTTATTGTTCATCATGCAGTTTTCCAGCGACTAGCAAATGATCAGTTTT